TGCCCCGCCGCCCCTGCCCCTGCCCCGGGCCTCCGGCCCCGGCCCGGCCCCGCCGCCGCTCCCCTCGCTGTCCCCCCACTTCTCCAGGCAGCCGGCTCCAGCTCGCCTCCTTGACGTCATGTCTGTAGCGAGGCTTCAGCAGGCGCAGTGGAGGCAGGCAGCGTGTTAAACTTTCAGATCAAGTCCGGCGGCTCCCAACGCCGTGCGCGGAGAGCTGCGTGCAGCCGCCGCAGCTGGAACATCTGGAAGCATTCAGTGTGTCTGTCTGTTCGGCGAGAGGGAGAGAGCGGGGAGCGAGCGCGCTGAGGGAGGGGAGGGAGTAAGGGGCTGGGACTGTGCTCTCTTCCTCTGCAGAAACAGCTCCCTGCCAACACAACGCGCTCAGAATGGCTTTGAAGAGGAGGAGCAGCAGCGTTTGAACATCTCCCTTTTTTCCCCCTCTTCCTCCTGCTCTTACTCTTGTAGTTGGTGGATTTTAAAAAGACATTTAACCCTCAGAGGTTTGTCCTGGATGCTTTTGCTTTTTTCCTTCCCCCCCCTCCCTTCGTTTCCCCCCTTCCTGTTCTTTTTTATGGTTTAACAGCCAGAGGTGCTGTGCTAAATTCTTGGAAGGGGCCCGGATGTACTGAGGATGCATTGCAATTTCACTAAAGGAGGCAGTAGTGGAAAGGATCAGWTTTTGGTGTTTGATGCAATAATGGGAATCAGGTAATAATAAAAGGGGAAATTCTGCAGCTCCATTCTTCCTTCAATTTTACCAAGCCGATTCTCGGAGGGATTATTCTGGACTCGTTTTAAATGGTCAATGAAAACAAGAGGATGTACATTCCAGAAGAAAACCATCAAGGTAAGCCTGAGATTTACCTCCGAGGACCTAGCAACCATTCCTTACCCTGCCCTTTGTCCCTTATCTCTCGGTTCAGCCCAGCCGCTGCCACCGCTGCCACAGCCAGAGGCTGGCGGAGGGGCCGGGGCAGAGAACAGCCTTTGACACCGGGTTCCATTCGGAGCACACAGCTCCCCTCGGCCGGGCGTGCTGTAGGGAGACCCCCGCAGCCCCTCGGAGAACGGCTGCTTCTTAGGAAACCTCGGGCAAAGAAAAGTTGCTTTAAGTCACCGTCGTTGCCTTCCCAGGCGAAGGGGCTGCGCGCTGGGGCCGGGGGCTCAGGGAAGCCGCGGAGCAGCCGCTCCTCCGTGTCAGACGAGGATTAACTCGCAGGGCGGCCGGAATTAGGGGATCATTCCCAATTAACGTCGTCCCGGTCCTCCTAACCTCCATCTGGGTACGGCTTCCTAAGATACCGGGAGAGGAGCCCTTCCCTTCTCCTACGCTATTTCCAATCTCTCACACGAAAGGGGAGGGGAAGGGAGAATTATCTGTTTACACACATATGCACCATACGTGCGCCCATACTGAGAGAACGAGGGACACGGCGGGGGTGGGGGGTGCCTGTATTAAAATTTRAGTTGGGTTTTACTTGGGGCAGTGATTTGTCGCCGAACTACTCTCAGGATCGCCTGCATCATGGATACCAACCCGTGCTGTTGCTCCTCGGCATCAGCAAATGTCCCCCGCTATTCCCTGTAGTAAAACTTTGTTTGTCCA